CCCCCCAACCCATAGGGACAGTGAGGACACTGCCCTATAACACCCCCAGCTCACAGGGACAGTGAGGACACTGCCCCTCCCCCTGGCCTGGCTCCCCAGAGTGGCCAGTGGGCCCTGGGGGGTGGCCATGGGGCCCAGAGCAGATGAACCCAAAGGCCCAGGTTTGCCCCATCCCTGCCCTCTGGCCATGGGGCAGCTGCTCTGCCACGAGGGTCCAGTGGCAGCTTCACAATCCTCCTCTCCCTCTGCCTCCTCCTCTCTTCTTGCTCCCTCTGCTTCTCTTTCTCTGCCCCTTTCTTGATGCTCTGGGTGGCTTTGGGAGCTGGAGAGGTTGGATTTTGACTTAAGTGTTGTGGAGGGATCAAATTTTGACTTAAGTCTTCTGGATTAATCTGTGCTGGGTCAGTATTGGGGTGGAACATTTTAGTCCAGCTCGTGTGGTGCCCTTTTGCCAAGTTCCCTTATTTTCTCCCCTAAATTAATAAAAATACCTCTTGGGATCAAGTCTGTGGTTTGTTCTCAAGGTATAAAGAACCCTATTAATATATTTTAAAGTCAAACTCCTGGCTGAGCCCGTGATCCTGCAGCTCCCAGGGCTGGAGTGTTGCACACCATCACTTGTGGAAAGGCTGGGGCAGTAAAAAAGCTCTCACGTTTCTAAAATTTAGGAGAAAGGAAATCCCACCACCTCTTCCCATTCTTCAGACACCACACAAGCCATTTTTCCACGTGGAGTTAGTTCCTCTCTGAGCTGAAAAGGTTAAATGGAGGGAATGGCCTGAAGGTGAGGCAGGGGAGGGTCAGGTTGGGAAGTTTCTGTCTCTTCAGCCACCAGGTCATGCAGGCTCTGAGCTCAGGCATGAGAGCCTTTATTGCCTGGACTGAAATTTTAGATATCCCAGGCTAAAATATCAAGGTAAAATGAAGTAGAAATGAAAAAGGCAGAGTGTTTTTAGTTAATTAGTCAGAGTTGGAAATTATTTGTGACTCAAAAACATATACAAAGGAAGAGTGAAACCTGGGGAAAGTTCTGCAAGGTCATGAGCAGACAAGAAGCATGAATTTTAACCCCCCCCCACCAGCTTCCCAAGGGAATGGCTGGAGCTGTGTCAGGGCAGGCTCAGGTTGGATCTCAGGCAAAGGTTCTTCCCCCAGAGGCTGGTTGGGCACTGCCCAGGCTCCCCAGGGCAGTGGGCACAGCCCCAAGGCTGCCAGAGCTCCAGGAGGGTTTGGCTGATCCTCTGGGGCACAGGGGGTGACTCTTGGGGCTGGGCCTGTGCAGGGCTGAGGGTTGGACTGGATGGTCCTTGGGGGTCCCTTGCAGCTCATTATATTCTGGGATTCTTCCAGGGATGTAACTGGTTTAATTAAGGGACAATGGGTGCATCTCACCCCTAAGGAAAGCAAGGTAAAGGTGATGTTCTTCATACACAAACTCATGTTCAAGCCAAATTCTGTCTTCATGAACACCCAGCTGACACTCAGGACAGTTCTAACTCAACGTGGGACTTCAGGGAATCTCAGGAAGTGTCATGGAAACATCACGAGATGAAGACTTGTCCACATTTTAATAGATGGAGAAGCTGGAGCAGAGGGGAAGAGCCTCAGGTCACACTGTGTGTCAGTGCCTGCCAGGATTTCTGATTCCCTCTCCCAGGATTTCTGATTCCCTGCCTGCCAGGATTTCTGATGTCCTCTAAATCCACAGTAAATCCTACCCCTGTTAACACCAGCATTAAATGGCAGCTGGTTTTAGCAGGAACTGGATTTCACCTTGGATTAGGTGATGCCCTGAACCAGTGGAAAGCCTCCAAGATTCCTGCTCCTTTGTCCTTTTTTCCTTTTTATTTTTCTTCTGAGAGTGGCATTGTCACAAGACCTTAATTCTTGTTTTTTGCCAATTCATCTGCTCCTGCCACTTCTCCTTACAACTGTTTTATATTGTGAGCCCACTGCCAACTTCAGATGGGATGTGATGCAGAATGGAGAAACAAAATCGGCAGCAGCAGGTGATCTGTGAAGCAAAAAAACCCCTCCACATCACAAGCAAATACCCTCAGTAATACAGAAAGCAAAGAAACATCAAAAAGGCAGGAAAAAAAATCTGTCTGGCAGCAAGAGGGAGTTTGGCTGAGCCATCAGCTGGTCAGTGAGGCAGGATTTGCTGTTCTCCTCTATGCCATGTGTGCTCTCCATCTTTCTGAAGATGAAGAAAGACCCACCAGCTGCTCAGTTAGGGGGGAAAAAAGTCACCTTGGGGAAGGTCAGGAGTGTGATTCCCTGCCCCACACGTCCAGGGGGTGCAGGGAATGCAGGGGAAGAGGCTCCTTCCCCCTCTGCCCACCCTCCAGCTGATTATCCTGAGGTGAGAGGACCTCCAAGGATCATCCAGTCCAACTCCTGGCCCTGCCCAGGACACCCCAAAAATCCCCCCCTGTCCCTGAGAGCGTTGTGGAGAAGGAACTGCCATGGGATGGGAGCAGCTCCTGCTCCAGTGGCTCTGTGGTGTCCTGGGATTTGAACCATTTCTTCTGGGAGCTGTGAAGCTCCTCTGCAGAGTTCCACTGGGGCTGGAGGAAGGTCATCAGATTGTCAGATCCCAGAATCCCAGAATATGCTGAGTTGGGAGGGACCCACAAGGCTCATGGAGTCCAACCCTGAGCCCTGCACAGGCCCAGCCCCAAGAGTCACCCCCTGTGCCCCAGAGGATCAGCCAAACCCTCCTGGAGCTCTGGCAGCCTTGGGGCTGTGCCCACTGCCCTGGGGAGCCTGGGCAGTGCCCAACCAGCCTCTGGGGGAAGAACCTTTGCCTGAGATCCAACCTGAGCCTGCCCTGACACAGCTCCAGCCATTCCCTTGCCACTGTCCCCTATCTCAGAGCAATCCCGCAGCGCCAAAGCGATCCCTGACCCACTCAGAGCTTTCCTTCTGTCCAAAATATGACCAAACCGTGAAAAACGTCGAGCTTTCCAACCTGTAAGTGCAGCTGTTTCTCTGCACTTCCGAAGGGCTGCACAGTCAAAAACTCCCAGCAGCGCCACAATTCCACAACTGGCTGCTTCCCGGAGGGGGAATAAATAAATTCGAGTTTATCTCTTCTAATTGCGGCCGAAATAAGGAGAGGGAGATGTAAGTGTGTGTTGTAGAGGGGAATGAAGGTGGTAAGGGAGGACTGAGGTTGTCCCTGGAGCGGGAGCAGAACCAGCCATGCAATGGATCCTCCTGCCAGGAGAGAGAGCCCTCGGCTCAGCTCTCAGCCCTCTGCCTCCTGCGAACCCTCCAGCGCTGCCAATTAGAGCTTTTCAAACCCAAGCTGTCAGCAAACAAGATGTACCAGCGAGTCTCTCCTGCGAGAACAGCGCCCTGAGAACACGCTCCTGTCAGGAGCGGCGCGTCTGCCCCGAGTGTTTGGCACAGGAGGGAGGTGGGGGGTGTCCCCCCGCTGTTTTCTGTCTAAATTAAGTGGGTTTCCAGGTTTAATGAGCTCCTTTCCATCTCCTTGTGGCAATCTTCACCCAAAGCTGAGCCCCAGAGACAGCCCGGGAGGTGTCTGGGAGCAGCATCCGCACCTGGATCGTGTGGGGAAGATCTTCAGGATGTGTCTGTGTGAAAATCTACTCAAAATTCACGTTGCTTTCTGACCTGCTCTTGGGGAAAAACAAAACTTCTGGGGGCAAAGAGTCTGGATTTGGCATCAGGAATTAATCAGGGGAGAAAATGAACCAAGCACCAAGACCAACCAGCCTGTTTGGGACTACAGCCACGACCAGGTGATACAGAAAGAGTGTAAGAAATAAAACCAATATAAAATGATTTTTGACATCATATTTGGTTATCTAAATAATCAGGAAATCCTGATTTTTTTTCTCCCAAGTGTTAACATATTTTTTCCCACATTCACCCTGCCAACCTGAGTCAAGGTGAAAAAATGTCCTTTTTTTTTTTCTTTTATTATTATTTTTAAACCTACCTCCAAATTATTTGCAGTCTCGGGATCTCTGTAATTCTCTGTGTCATGACCTTGTCTCATTTAAAAAGCTGAATCCTGGTATGTGCCTTGTTTGGGAAGGAGCAGCCACTGGATCCTGGAGAAGCTCTGCTGAGCTGGACTAAGTGATGTGAGGGGAATTAAGAAAGGCTGAACCTTTCTGTTGGCTCAGCTGAGCAGGATCTGCAGTTTTGCCCTAAGGAAGCTCAGAAATCTTGCTTTTCAAGGTCAAATCTTGTGCTCATTTTAACCAGCCAGTGAATTCCTGACTTTCTGGATCCCTCTCATGTTTGTTCTGTCACACAGAAATCCCCCGTGTTCTCCTGACACAATTTATTCCTGATTAACTGAGACACCAGAGGATTCCTGGGCATCCCCAGGTATTCCCACCTCGGGGCTGCTTGTGGAGACAATTCAGCAGCTAATGAGGTGCTGATGCCTCGTTATCCTCTCTAAAACATGATGTTCTAACAGTGCTGAAAGGAGAATTGGGCAGAAACTCAAATAAACCCTTGATTTGCTCAGCAATTTGACAATTTATTTGTTGTTCTGCCTAAAATAAAAAAGCTCCGAGTAATTGGGCCCCCTGTGGGTTTTGAGAAAGGTATGAACAGACTTTTCCCTGAGCTCCTACAGAAACAAATAGTGCTTTTCCCTGCCCTGGGGTGACATTTGATTCACAAAGCACAACACAATAGGTGATGTTTTGCCCAGTGTCCCACGCGGCTGAAAATCAGGATTTTCACAAGGTCTTGCTGGATTTCTGCAGTGGGAAGGAGCAAGGACCGTGTCCGGGGTTTCTGGAAGCTTCCCTAAATCTCTGCATCCTCCCGGGCAGGTGGTGGGGTCACCACCTGTGTCACAGAAGGGAAAAACTTGCTGGACTTTAAGGCATAATGGAAAAAAACCCAAACACAAAAAATAACCAGAGAAGTGCAAATGGTTGTGGAGTTTTCCACCTTGGAAATATCCAAGAGCCATCAGGGTGTGGTCTCGTGCAGCCAGCTCTGGGTGGCCCCACTTGGGCAATGTGACCTCCAGAGATCCTTTCCAACCCCAACCTCTCCGTGATTCCCTTTCCTCGGCTCCAAAGTAGAAAGAAAGAGGGGAAAATGTGGTGATATTCTTTTTTTCCCTTTAGTTTAATACCTAAGAGAAATCATTCAAAAGACTGCTGCTGTTTTTCTGCTTTTTTTAAGGTGTCCAGGAAAGAAGATTTCAAGGAGATAAAGCAGCTTCAGAGTTCTTTGTGCTGCTGCCCACACAAACATTGGGATGACAGGGAAGAGCAAGGATGGGAAGAGGGTGTTGGCTGGGTTGTCTGGCAGCACAGATGCAGAGCAGACAAGAGCAGGAAAACAGTGCCCAAAGAAAGGGGTTGTTTAATGGTGTGGAAGAGATTCCCTAGAGATGGAAATCCAGCATTTTCATGGACAGCTCAGTGAAAATGTCTCTTCAATCCACAGGGATGGGCAGTGCTGTGTGTGAGGTGTCAGCATGAGTCAGGAATAAAAATAGAGGTTAATTCTGGAAGTGTTATAATGGATATAAATATCTATATAATTGTATAAATCAGGGCTGTGTGCCAGGCCTGACCCATGTGCCAGGCCTGACCTAAATATGGTCACAGTCTCCTAAAAGACATTGGGGAATTAGGTAAAGACAGCAGAAATAAAGAAATAGGGTGGGATTTCTGAGGGGTATGAATGGGTTGCACACCAGTCCTGGAGGAAAGTGGGTCTAAAAGGATCCATTATTTATTCCATTTGAGAGGTAAACAATAAGAAAACTGGCAAATTCCATGGGATCTGCCTTCATGCAACAGCACTGGGAGTCAAACTCCTCCTTCAGGATCCTTCATTTGGGACCCGGGCACCATTCCAGGGGGAATGATGAGCCCCAGGTTTCCTATTCCTTGTTTTCCCCCAGGTTTCCTATTCCTTGATTTCCCCCGGGTTTCCTATTCCTTGATTTCCCCCAGCTGTGAGGTGAGGAGATGACTCCCAGCTCAGAGACCTGGGGCCTTCGGGGTTGTTGCTGGAGCTGTGTCAGGGTTGTGCTCCGTGTGGGATCACTGGTGCCGTGGGAAGCACTGGAATTCTTTTCCAGCCATGAGTTCCTCATTGGAACAGATCCATGGAGCAGTTTTAACTCCCTTTGCTGGGCGTCTGCTCCCAGGCCAAATGTGGAGAAGAGAAGCCACCTTGGTGTCCACGAGTGTGTTTTCCCACTATTAAATCCTTTGCATGGATGAGGGTGGAAGGGATGGACCTGGGGAAGAGCTGCCTGGAGCTGTCAGGTCCTAATTAGTGGCAAATTAGCAACTGCCTGAAATTTCTGTCCACTTTTGGAAAGAAAGCTCTGTGCCCTGACTGGAACTCCTCAGCACCTTTATCCATCCAGAAAGGTGCTCAACAGCTTTGAGTGGATGTCTGGTGACAGGAGACATGGAAATGAAAGCTATAATCATATTCCTGGTAAGAGCTGAGCTTCTCCAAGGGCAGGACCATCATCCAACTCTTTCTTAATTCCTACTTCATTTACTGTCACACAGTGAGCAGCTACTGCTGACATTCTTGGAAGGAGGACAAGCACCTTGGAACCCCTCTCCTGCTTGGAGCTTCTGACCCATCTGGACATTGGAACAGCAATTAATGGAATGAGATGAGAAATAATCTTTTTACAAGGTTATGTTGGAAGTAGTGAGAGGTAAATGTCTCTTTTGCCTCTCAGTGCTCAAGGACAGAAATGTTTCTGTGGTCTGGCATTCAAATAATTCAGTTTGGGGTTTTTTTATTATTTTTCTTTCTCTTAAGTCTCCAAGTTGAGCTTTGTTTTCAAGAAGAATTGAGAGGTTTGCACCTCCCAGAAGCTTGGAGCTCCTGGCCCTTCTAGACATTGGAACAAAAATAGAATGAGATGAGAAATATTTTTACAAGGTTATGTTGGAAGCAGTGAGAGGTAAATTTGCCTCTCAATGCTCAAGAACAGAAATGTTTCTGTGCATTGACACATTGGGATTTTTTATTTTTTTTTTAAATTTTCTTTCTCTAAGTCTCAAAGCTGAGCTTTGTTTTCAAGAATCTTGTGGCTCGAGACACCCCTCAGCTCGTCCATTGTCACGTGCAGAATCTTTCCTTGGAACTCCTACAGTTCCCAAGCCCCGGCGAGCTTGTGTTACATCATGGGAAGATACACCAAAAATACACTTTCAAATTTCTCTCAGAGTCCTCACTGGTAGTACCAGACCTATAAACCTGTCTGATCTTTTTTTTTCCAGCTTCCATTCATTTCTTCCGCCTCGGCCCCATCGCTCTCCTCAAAAGGAAGCTCCCAAGAAACCACCTGGTTTCTCTCGAAAAAAAATATTTTAATTCACTTTAACGAAAACAAATTTTTAATTGGCTTACCTTATTAAAATTGGGAGACCTCACCCTGCCCCCTTCTGAGTCACTGAAGGCCCTGCTGATGGCAAACTGGATGGCCAGGCCGGTCATGGTGCCCGTGGAGAGCGGCTCGATCCTCCTCACGGCCTGCAGGAGCCCGGCCTTGGTGTGGTAGGTCTTGAGGGAGAACTCGTTCTTGACGGCGCTGGCGTAGTTGATGACCCCCACCCTGGTGGAGTTGGGCCCCACGTCCAGCCCCTCGATCACACGGGACACGAAGACTTTGATCTTCTCGAACTCGTGCGGGCGGACGCTGCGGGAGCTGTCGATGATGAACACCAGGTCCGTGGGTTTGGTCCTGCACAGGGTGCCTGGAACGGGGAAGGAGGGGAGGAGAAAAAATAAAAATAGAACAAAAGTGGTCTTGGGAGAGCAGTGGCTGAGCAGAGAGGAGCAGGAAGCTTCAATCCTCTCTGGGGTTGTGGCATTTGGGACACCACGATCCACGTGGGTATTAATTGGTTAGATGGGATCTCCATCAGGCATGACCAGAAACAGATGCTGCCTGTCTCAGAGAGCACTTGAACCTAATGATTCTAAATGTTCTTTATCCTTTCTTAGGAAAGCAAGTCCTGATGGGTGACCAGTTCTCCCTGAGTCAGCAGTGCCCTGAATCAGCAGTGCCCTGGCAGCCAGGAGGGCCAACCCTGTCCTGGGGGCATCAGGGAGGGGATTGTCCTGCTGTGCTCTGCCCTGGGGCGGCCTCACCTCAACATTGGGGCAGCTTTGGGCAACACAATATAAGAAAGATCTGAAGCCACTGGAGAGTGTCCAAAGGAAGGCAATGAAGAGGGTGAAGGGCCTTAAGGGGAAGCTGCCTGAGGACACTGAGGGCACTTGGTGTGTTCAGCCTTGGTCTCTACCTCTTGTCACCCTAGGCTGTCACTAATGTCAGTAATGAAACCTTATTTACTTATGGCAGCAAAGAGGGGAGAGATGAAGCTGTGAACTGAATCCCAGAATGTGCTGAGCTGGAAGGGACCCCCAAGGATCATAGAGTCCAATCCTCAGCCCTGCACAGGCCCAGCCCCAAGAGTCACCCCCTGTGCCCCAGAGGATCAGCCAAACCCTCCTGCAGCTCTGGCAGCCTTGGGGCTGTGCCCACTGCCCTGGGGAGCCTGGGCAGTGCCCAACCAGCCTCTGGGGGAAGAACCTTTGCCTGAGATCCAACCTGAGCCTGCCCTGGTACAGCTCCAGCCATTCCCTTGGGTGCTGTCCCTGCTCCCCCAGAGCAGAGCTCAGTCCCTGCCCCTCCTCTGCCCCTGCCCAGGAATTGGAACTGCACTGAGGTCTCCCCTCAGTCTCCTCTGCTCCAGCTGAACACACCAAGTGCCCTCAGTGTCCTCCCACACCTTCAAATCAAGGCCCTTCCCCATCTCTTTGCCCTCCTTTGGACACTCTCCAATGGCTCAATCCCTTCCCTCCATTGTGTCCCCCCAAACTGCCCCAATGTTGAAGTGAGGCCACCCCAGGGCAGAGCAGAACAGGACAATCCCCTCCCTGATGCCCCCAGGACAGGGTTGGCCCTCCTGGCTGCCAGGGCACTGCTGACTCAGGGACAACTGGCACCCACCAGGGCCCCTTTCCCGGTCCCACTTTCTGGCTCTCATTCCCAGTCTCTATGAACAGCCAGGGTTGCCCCATCCCAGGTGAAACCCGAGCCTGCACTTATGCACCAAACAAAGCCTGGGAAGGGGTTATGGAATTTCAGCCACCACCACCCACATGGATATTAATTAATTAATGAGGTGGGATCTCTGTCAGGCACGACCAGAACCAGGCACCACGCTCAGCAGCTCAGGCTCAGCTGAGCATCGAAACACTGGATTAACCGACCACATCCACAGGAAAAACTCCTGTTTTTCACTTTATGGCACTGCCAATAAACTCCTGTAAGACAGCCCAGGTTTGTGCCTGTGAGCTGGGATGGGAGAACATGACACAGAGCTGTGAACCCACATAACTGACAGTTAATCCCTCCAACCAAACATCCACTGTGGAAAGGAGCTGGTATGAACAGGAAGCATTAACAGTGCAACAAGCTGGGTGACTATTAGTATTATTATTTCTTTAATTTCCCATTTTCATGCTAGACATGGACAAGCTCAAGGAGTGTTTGGACAATGCTTTCAGGGACAGGGTGGGATTGTTGGGGTGTCCTGTGCAGGACCACAAGTTGGATTGGGTGATCCCTGCAGGTCCTTTCCAGCTCAGGATATTTTATGATTTTATGATTCTAAATAGAGACAAATATTTTGAGCTGCAAACTGCATTTTGGTTCAGTAGAAACAGGTTTAAGGCAGAGGTGGTGGATCAGTCTCTTGGCAGGAAAACACGATATCTGGCCGTGTTCTTAACTCCAAATATGTGTTGCCTTTGACAGGTTGTGTTTGGTAACACAGCCCGGGTTTGTGCCTGTGAGCTGGGGTGGGAGAACACGACACAGAGCTGTAAACCCACATAACTGACACTTAATCTCTCCAACCCCACAAACATCCTCTGTGGAAAGGAGCTGGAAGCATTAGCAGTGCAACGAGCTGAGTGATTGTTATTATTATTTCTTTAAGCTCCCATTTTCCTGCTATTTTCCATCTTCATTTTCAACTGCGGCAAAACATAAAAAAGGGGCTGATATTTTTTTTTTATGGTTTTCCAAATGAATTGTCCCATTTTTTCCCCACCAGATCTACAGCATGCTGTTCTTTTAATTTTTTGCCATCGTTTAGCCTGTCTCTATCAGGGCATCAAACACTCTGTTAATATTTGATTTCTGCAGCCAGGGACTACAGAAGTTACAGCATAAAGGAAATTTCTGTGGACAGATTTTTAAATGGGAGCTTTTGGGCCAACAAATCTGTTCCAAATGATGACATAAATATTATAGCAAGTCCTCAGCATGAAATCTAATGGAGCTTTCAGTCTTTTGGGCAGATAAAAATAAATACCCTGTGATATATCCATAAAGAATATAATCAGGTTTGTTTCCTGAGAGACACTAATGCTGAATCTGCCTCTGGCTCCCAGAAAGGTCTTGCTAAAAATGCTAAAGAAGGGAAGCAGGCAGTGGTCACTTTGTCAGATGCTCTAATTTCCTCTAAAATGCAATATAACCTTTTCCCATAGGGATGACTTTCATTTTTCCCACTGTAATTCGTTGCACAGGAAGGAAAAATTCACTTGGTTGTGCCCATTTTACAGGCAAGAAATGAAGGTACAGAGAAAGCCTCAAAGTTTTGCTATCAGTCCCTGCAGAAATAAAGCCCAGATTCCCCTTTGCCCATGTAGCTGATGAATCACCTCTGGATTTACTGACAAACCAAGGAGGAAAAGTTATTTTTTTTCCCTTAGGAATAGTTGCATCCAATAGAAATTTTGAAATATATCTATTTCTTTTTGCATAAAAGCTCCATGATTTTGTCCTAAATAACATTTTCAACTTCTTTTTTTTTTTAAGAGTAAATTATATTTCAGAGAAATGAAGGGAAAAGAAGGGATATCAGGTGGGAGCTTTGGGATTTCAGCTTGTCTGCTCACAGGCCTTAATCCTTTCCAGAAGGTGACAGACAGGACACTTGCTCTGATTGACATTTTGACTCAGCATAGTTTATTTCAAAGTTGAATTAAACCAGAAATAAAATGTCCTTTTAAAAAAAAAATATCCACACTAGGAATTATGCAGGAATAGCTGAACTTTATGCCCTGATTTAGCAGCAAATATCTTTTTTGGCATCTTTGCCATGTTCATTCCAAGAGCAGGAAAGCTGCTGAGTAACCCAGACCTACAAGGAGTTTATTTTAGAAGTGGCAGAAGGGCTGAGCTGAATGCCTGCTCTGTTTGATTTCCTGACTTCAGTAGCACAGCAAAGATAACTCTCCCTTCCCAAATTGCTGAGGAGAAACGGGTCAGTGTAGCAGAAATCTCCCTCCGTGAGCAGCAGATAACACTGAAGTCCCTGTCACAACCCTCAGCCTGCCCACAAATGCGTGTTCTGCATCACCACGAGACCATTCCAACATTTTTTAATACCCAAAAGTAAGTTTGGCCTTGGCTGCCTGTCTGGCAGTGAGTTCTCCAGGCTTCCTGGAGCCCCTGGAAGATGCTTCCCAGGAGCAGACCCTGCAGCCCTTGCCTTGGTGTCCAGCACTTTCTGACATGAACTGGGAGTTAAAACCATGTGAGCTACAGAGCAGGCAGCTCCCCTCCCTCCTGGCTGCCCTACACCCCGTTTGGAAAGTCAAACAGAGCAGGATTTTGCTCAGGATGAAGGAAAACATAGGAAAGTCCTACTCTCATCAACCTCATCGACCTCAGCCAGACCTTGCTGCCCGGGGAGGTGACCCCGGCTGAGCGGGGGGACCTGGCCAACTCCTCCTCCAGCTCCTGGCCAGACCCTCCTCGTGGAGCTGTGGAGAGGAGCGGTTTTGGAAGGCACAGGAGAAGTTTTGGGAGGCAGAGGACAGCCCTTCTCCCACCTGGGCCTTCTCCAGCCGGGACCTGGAGTCCCATGGCTGCCGCCCTGGGGACTCGGGGTGAGTCGGTGCCACCTCGCTGTCCCTCAGTGCAGACTGAAGTCATGGAACAGCCAGAAGCAAACCCAGCTCCAGCTCCTGCTGCCTCAGGAGCGCAGTTGGGAAAGTTCCTTCACTTCCCTGGCTGATGTTGGGTGCTCCCTCTCCCTTCTCCTCCTTCCCAGTGCCAGGACAAGTGGCAGAGGCTGAGGACCCAACGCGCTCCCCACTCACCTCTGGGCTGCGGAGGGGCCCCGCACACGGTGTAGCTCTGGAGGAGGAGCAGTAAAGAGAGCAGCAAGGCAGAGAAAATCCTGTCCATGGCTGTGGAGGAGCTGGAGGCGGGATGGGGAGTGGAGAGCAGGAGCCTTGGCCCAGAGGTATTAACCTGCCCTTCGTCGGGGAGGCATCGAGCCAGCCCCTGACACGTGTGAAGCGCCGGGGGGGCTCCAAGGGGAGAGGGATGAGGGAGAAAACCCTGCCCCAAGGTGGGGAGGGGGGGATGTCCAGCCCTGCCTGCCCCCATCCCTCCACAATGGCGTCATTGCTGCTGGAAGGGGATGGGAAGCTATAAAAGAGCCGCAGCGGGATGGTATGTGGGGAATCTGGGACCGTAACAGTGGGACCAGTGAGCCCAGCCCTGGGGAACTGGGCTGGACCTGCCAATCAGCAGCTCCTGGCCACAAACCTTGGGCTGTGCCACGGGCTGTGGTGTGTCAGGATACTGTCCTTCCTCTGGCAAAGCCCAGGGAAGGGGAGGAATGGGATCAGCATCACACAAATCACCTCTCAGTCCCCACGTGTGTTGGAAACCAGCCCGTGGGATTGGGGGGCTTTGCTGCCTTGGCTTTGAGGGGGAATGCTCAGGGGCAGAGGAAGAGGAAGAGGAGAGGAAGGCTTGGGCAGGCACAGGAGAAAGTGTGTGATGCAGAATAAGTTTCTTCCTGCAGGGAACAGTTCCTTCTCTGTGAGGTTGTGCCCCTGTGCAGCAGAGCAGGGAGGGGAAAGGGCTCAGGAGCCTAAACTGGATAAATAGAGAGGGAACTCGGGACAGACAAACAGATCAGGAGCCGGATTTAGTTTTCCAGTGCAGCGTTCAGGTCTGTACACAGGAGGGAGATGCAGCTCCTGCCACAAAAAGCCAATAATCTGACTTAACAAACAAGACTGATGATGCTGCAAGTTGAGCTGAAATCCAGTGTTTTCTTTGTGGGAGAGCAGCAGGGAGATTTGGTACCAGGGTAAGAGGAATTTAATGATGGGTTGGTCACAAAGCAGTGCATCTGTTTTCTTCTTTTTAACTACTGTTTTACACCATCAGCTGATTAAAGCCCTTCTCCTCTGATGGATTAGTCTTTGCTCACCTTTCCAGCCACACACCCTTGGATAAATCAGCCATTTAATCTGAGTTGTGTTAGTGCAGTGCCAGGCAAACCACCTTTAACTCAAAGCCCAGTTTCTCTTCCCTTATCCAAAGTCTCTCTTTACTCCAAAAGCTCTTCAGCAGAGCCCAAGAGCTCCCGTGGAGAAAAGCTCTTTGATTAGGGAAAAAAAGGACCTGTCCTTAGTGAAGCTGCCAGGCTGCTCTGAACCCTTTCAACATGAAAAGTGTTAATTAAAATACTGAAAGATGGTGAGGTCTTCATGCAAAACCAGCATGGGTTTGTCCCACTGTCTTCCCAGGTACAAACCATCAATCACAGGCTTTCAGCGATCTCTGGATGGAAAATTTTAGCCAGAAGGAACAAATGTTTCAGGGGAGGGACGGGGCAGCTCTGCTGGAAGGAAAGGCTGGGAGAATTGGGATTGTTCAGCTTGGAGAAAGGAGGTTTCAAGGTGACCTAATTGTGGCCTTCCAGGGCCTGAAGGAGCTACAAGGAAGATGGAGGGAAATTTTAGATGGACTTGGAGTGCCAGGATAAGGGGGAATGGCTTCCCACTGAAGGAAAACAGAGTTAGGTGGGATATTGGGAAGAAATTCTTGGCTGTGAGGGTGGGGAGGCTCCAGCACAGGTTGCCCAGAGAAGCTGTGGCTGCCCCTGGATCCCTGGAAGTGTCCAAGGCCAGGCTGGAGCAACCTGGGCTGGTGGAAGGTGTCCCTGCCCAGGGCAGGGGGTTGGAATTACCTTTCAAAGTCCCTTCCAACCCTAACCAGTCTGTGATTCTGTGATGAACATGGTTACATTTATGTGTTTATATATATATATATATATATATATATAAATATGTATATAGGCACACACATGCAGGCACACGACTCCTCTATTCAAACCTTTCATGGATATGTTTATAAAATCATGAATTTTGATGAGTGCTAATATATATAAGTATATATATATACTATTCACTGCTATCCTCGTGTGTTTTTATTCACAGAGCTACATTTTCTCCCCAGATATATAGAACACCTACACCCTTACATTTACAACTATTAGGGAACAAAGTGAAATAACAGCCTAAAATTTGGGAAGCTTTGCCCCCGAGCTCTCCATGATGAGGTTTCTCTGTCACTCTGCCCTGCAGACAAGGATCTCTTGGTGCAGACAGTACTTACTGGCCATGAATAGGGATCATTCAGAGCCCTCCATAAATGAAGCCTCTATGGCTGTTCTTGCCGAGGAAAATATAAAGTTTCTCTGTGTCATTTCACTGTTAATTAGCAAAGGAAGATAAATACATTTCAGGTGAATATTTTCACTAGCAGAGCTTGTGGCACACAAGCAGCATTAGAGCTTTGAAACTCCTGTGAAGGGCAAAGGTGTGCTGGGTACTCAGGGCCTGCGTTTCTGCCTCTGTAAAAGCACTGTTTGTTTGGAAAATATGAAACATAATTTTTCCCCCCGGCCCCCGAAAAAATGCAAACACGGGGTTCGATATTTTCGAGAGGAAAATATGCATTTAAAAGCTCTTCCCCAGCCTGGTTGAAACATAAACAGACAAACCATTAATGGCCAGTGCTGGCCCCAGAGTGGCAGAGCTGCTCTTGGGGGCTTCACGTGTCCTGGCACAAGGAGGGTTTGCCTCTCCTCCAACACAGCCATGGCTCCTGATTTAAAAAGGACTGATTTTTAAATATCAGATCCCCTCTTTCCTCCCTTCTTGCAGGAGATCCTGGTCCCACTTTGCTCATGCTGGAGTCAGGTGGTTCAGACTCTCCTTGTGCTGGGCGCTGGTGGGGCCACACCTCGAATCCTGGGGGCAGTTTTGGGCCCCTCCTGACAAGGAAGACATTGAGGGGCTGGAGCGTGTCCAGGGAAGGGAATGGAGCTGGGGAAGGGTCTGGAGCAGCAGGAGCAGCTGAGGGAGCTGGGGGGGCTCAGCCTGGAGAAAAGGAGGCTCAGGGGGGACCTTCTGGCTCTGCAACCCCCTGACAGGAGGGGGGAGCCGGGGGGGGTCGGGCTCTGCTCCCAGGGAACAAGGGACAGGAGGAGAGGGAACGGCCTCCAGCTGTGCCAGAGGATGTTCAGATTGGATATCGGGAAAATTTCTTCAGGGAAGGGGCTGTAAAGCACCAGAACAGGCTGCTCAGGGAAGTGCTGGAGTCCCCATCCCTTCAGGAGTTCAAAAAAGCGTGGATGTGGCACTTGAGGACGTAGTTTAGTGGTGAACTCAGTGATGGTGCTGGGTTGACAGCTGGACTTGATCTTAGAGGTCTTTCCCAACCTTAACAATTCCAGGGTGGGGTCAGGAGATGCAGCTTGTCCTCCCCAGCATGACCAACATCATCCTTTGCACCCAGCCAAGAGAGAGGCTTGATTTTCCTTCCCTGGCTGCTCCTCAAAGCTCTGGGTGATGCCCCAAAATTCCACTGTGCTGCACCTTCCTTTGGATCCTTTCTTTTAGTGACAACCTTTTCCTAGTTTGGAAAATCCTGATGACAAAATTCATTCTTTGACGTGTCTTTGACACTTCCCTCTTTGAAGTGTCAAATCTGCCAGCCTTGGGCCAGGCCAGGAAAAAGCAAAGCCCAGTTTAAGTCCTGAAAGTACTAAAACCCAAGCACATCTTAATACAGACAATATTAGAGTTAGGAGAGGTGGTAACTTCTCATTTGTCATCAGACAAGCAAGTCTGATGGCATAAAACTCTCTAAATGCAGATTCTTTATCACTGTATGCAAAACACTTCACAGGAATATTGATCAGATGGGCAAAGCCGAGAAAAATGACATTTTATTTTCAATGCCTTGTTTTGATTTGGCATTTCACTCGTGCCGTTTGTTTCGCTCATGTTTTTATTTTAAACCTGTATTTTAGTGCTGTATTTCCATATTTCCAATAAACACCTCCTGATTCCATTTAATACCTCGGTATAAATTTCACACTGCAACAAATCAAAACCCTGAGGGGCTTCCATGGAAATGACCCAGAAGAATGGGAAGGTTTTTTGGGAGGGGGAGGGAAAGGAAATCAAAATTTGGGGGATCTCAAGATGTTTCCAGACTTCCAACAGAGCTCAAGCACAAGGCAGGACGAGAGGAAATCACCTCCAGTTGTGCCAGAGAAGGTTTAGATGGGATATTAAGAAAAATTTCTTCTTGGAAAGGGTGGTCAAACATTGGCCCAGCTGCCCAGGGCAGTGGTGGAGTCCCCATCCCTGGAAGTGTTCAAAAAAACCCTGTGGATGTGGCACTTCAGGCCGTGGTTTAGTGATGAACATGGTGGGGGGGGGGATGACTGGTGGGACTCGATGATCTCAGAGGTCTTTTCCAATCTTTTAAAATATTGCATTTTTCTTTATCTTTTTTTTTTTTTTTTTTTTTCCCAAAAGCCCAGTGTTTGTAGCCCTGGCCCATCAGCCCTTCTCAGAAGGGATCTGGAGGGTGGCTGAGTCCCTCTGGTTGGGAAGGACAAGCAGCCAAATTCTGAGTAGTTTACTGTTGATTCTTATTTCCTTCCAAACAAACCTGTTGGTCGTAGTAAACACAGCTTTCCTGCCCTCCAGCCATTACAAAACTCCAAGGTTTAGCAAAATTCTCCATCATTTCTTGCCCATTTCAGGCTCCCTTTGATGTTCCCAGGTTGAGTGTTCCTGAGCTGCATTCCCAGCTCATTTCCCACCTACTCAGAGAAACGGTGACAAAAGGTGCCTTTTAGTCCAAGCTCCAATTGTTGTATTTTATTTATTTTCTATTTTGGTTTGGCACAGTGGAGGGGGGGCTCTCCCAACCTGTTTCATTCCCATAAAGGGTATTTACTGCACCCCTGTACTGGGAATGTGATATTTCCAGCAGTGGGGGGAGTGCAAAGCATAAAACAAATGATGTAAAGGGTGAAGGGTTGGGGAGACATGAATGGCTTTAAATATAACCCTTCCAACAGC